CTGCTTTTATTGAAAATTGCACATGAATTACATTAAACTTTGATTGTTTGCATCTCTCTTCTTTTATGTACAGAATTAGGTTACATAGAATTTGACTTGAGTTCCTGCAGTACCTTAAAGACTAACACATTCATTTTAGTGTAAGATTTTATGGCCTAGAGGTGACTTGGCCAGATCCATGGGAGGAGGTATGTACAGTTCTCTTGGCTACTTTTTTAAAAATAAAGAATGGCTAAAATCCTGTTGCTTTTTTATGCATAAGGAAGGCAAGCAGCGTAACATTCACTCACTTTTAGCTGGCAATTGATGAGTTTTCACTGGGATTCGCAGACGCACTGCACATCAGTGGGAGATACTGACAACTCTGACAGTTGCCTCAACAACTTGTTAAATGCTGGCTAGAAGGAAGTGGATGTTGCTCTGTTTGCTTTCTGCATGCATAAAAAAGCAACATATAATTATATATTATAATATATTTTAATAACATTTCCTAATTTCCTCTGTCACCAAAATGATTACAATCTGAGCTAAGATTTTGCCTAGCAGCACTATCCTATGCAACCTTACCTGGGAGTAAGCCCCACTGATTATAATGCAATTTATGTCTGAGTGAATATGCATAGGATTGTGCTACAAGGCTGCAGTTCTGTGTATCACAGGGAGAAAGACCCATTGCATGCAGTAGAGAATTCTCCTAAGTAAACACATTAGGATGGTACCATTAGTGTAATTTTTCTTATAAATAAAATTATGAAACTTGAGAAATTTTACCAGAAACCTTTTATGTTTACCTGCACATATAAGATAAGATTTAACTAATATACATAAGAAGCAAGACCTTCTTGGTTATGGCACCGGTCACAAAGTATGATCTCTCCAGACAGCTCTTTAAATCCTCATAGAATATGTCTATGTTCCACGAACCAACTTAAATCCTGGAGTTTCTGAGCCTTACACTTTGTACTAAATTGAGTATTGGATTTTTATTGCAGGTTTTCTCTCTAGCTCTGTATCTTGATTGATGATAAACTTGTGAGTGGGTGTCTTCATAAATAGAGCCTACAGTTTTCTTGCTTTTCCCTGTTGCTGTTTTCACTCTTTGCATTATGGATTTGATTGTTACAGCTATATTAATTATAGGTTTGTGGGCTTGGTTGATTTTCTTAGAAAAGTGGGACATGACTTTTTAATTAAATAATTGTTTTTTGAGAAGTAATGAGCATTTGGACCACACTATTGTATCTTATTGCTTGTTGGGTACCAGGGATGTTTTACATTAAGGCTGAGGAAAATACATTTTATTCTGTGGCCACATTGTAGATTGTTTTGAAATATGCAGCCATCAGATTCCAAGCAGAATGTCAGGGTGTGTGAGCTATTGTCATTAAATTTTGATATCAGTTTATCAGGAGTCATAGTCTAAAGTGCATGTATGAGAAAGAGCGCATACTGTCACCCAACTGAATGCCATTTTTAATGCATGGACTTCCAGGAATAGCTTCACCATGTAGCAGAACCTCAAGCAGAATGAACCCGATAGGTGCTGTTTTCTTACCCCTAACTTCCATCTATTAACATAGGAGTAGATGTTTTAGACTCCAGCTCCCATTATCCCTGGCTTCCAGAACAAGCAGTGGTGCGAAATCTTGAGGATTACCTCCATCAATACCTGGAGGGCTACATATGCTGCTTCCCAATGTTAAGCAAGAGATGGCTCTAGTAACTCAGAGAGAAGGGTGATAGTGTTGGCGTCATATTGTCTCTCAGCAACAAATACAAATGTATCTAAGCTTTGGACACAAGCTTTTTCAGCCATGCTCTCCTTTTGTAAAAGCTTCACACAGTCTGTCTGCTTGATTAATAGCATGTTCTGCTCTTTAAATACACCCAGGCCATACGGCACATTTAGAGCAAAGCAGGTTGTTGTCCCAACAGCTGTTGTTTCCGATTCCAGCTGTGCCTAGTTTGAACACACTAGAACCTGTCAATCCCTTGTCATTTTAGCACACTGCTGATTCAGACGACCATTTTTCCTATGATATTGTTTGACCTTTGCAGTCTTTGTGCTGGAAATCAAATGGAATTAGGCTATCTGAAGAGTTCTAACATACCAGTTAGCAGTGAATGGTTAAATCTGTAAGACAGAGTGCCATGAACTGGCTGGAAAGCTGAGCTGGATACCTGTCTGCAGAGCCACAGTACGGGAGTTCAGTTCCCCGCTGTACCTCCTGTGAGCAGAGCCAGCCTGTGTGGCTTTGGGAAAGCTGCACAGTCCCAGAAGGAGGGAATGGTAAACCACTTCTGGGTATTATCTACCTAGAAAACCCTGGAAAGGTTTGCCATAAGTCAGAATTGACTTGACAGCATGCATTTATTATCAGAGATCCATTAAATAAGCACTGGAACACATGGCGGTCCTTCAGACAATCCAGTTTCCACATCCCTAAAACAACAACAACACGTTATTCAAGAGAAGAATCACGGACAAGGATTCTGCACACAGCCTATACCCACTATAAATATATGTACCTACCGAATCAATGCAATTGACGTAAGTGTTGATTTACCATTAAGTAATTGATTCAGTTCCTTTTTTCCCCCACATTTCAAGTTCAATATTTAGTATACTTCAGATACCTTTTCAGCAAAAATAGCTCATTGTGTTTTTACACCTGTTTGTTTTTAGGATATCATTTATGAAATAAAAAGTTTTTCTCATTTACTCCCTTGTATTTTTAAAGGGTTCCTTGGCCCTCAGTTTTGGAGCTACTTAGAAAAATTAATCTTAAATAAATAAAAGGGGATGGTCATAAATTAGTGCTCCACTGTGCCAACATTGTGCAGCCCCCTTTTGTCAGCTGTCCTTTGCTGACACTCTGAGAATAATGGAAATATTCACCACAGCAGAGGAATAAAATCTGCAGGGGAATAATCTGAATTTAAAAGAGAACAAGTGTGAACATGAAGCTAGTGCCCAAGCTGCTTACGGATGTTAAATGACAATGTTCAATATAAGTAATAGATTTCAGTTTTAACATCAAACTACTGACCTTGAGGAAATGGCACACAAGTAATATTTGTCCCAGGACCTTGTAATATTTTTGTGTTGATGCATTAGGCCTTTTGCTTCCACATTCCCAAATCATGTTGGTAATTTTATTTTTGAACACAGTAGAGCTTTATTTTCTTGCTACATTTCTAAGTGTGTGTGTCTTCAAGTCTTCCATTGCATGTGAAATAAAAAGAGACTGTAAAAAAATGCTTCTTTATATGAAGGCTGTTTTGTGGCAGACCATATTTTGACATGCAGCCTAGGCTGATCTGTTTGCTTTGATGGTATACCTCCATAATGCACTGACTCGTGGCTTACGTAGATTGATCTGCGTAGGGCTCACAGTGTTTCGGCTGTTTTCTTTTGGCTTGAAGGGCTGGATTCCATGAGCATGGCTCCTTCCCACACCTTAATTCTGTTCCACTGGTATAATCGGGTGTGATCACACAGGGAAATATATTGCAATTGGGGCTGCTTCTGAAGTAGTTCAGTATGATCCGTTTCCTAGCAATCACACAATGTACAAGGAAATGTGCTCCAGACTGACCCCAGCGTGTGCCCAAATTGGACCTTTTTGATCCAACTGTAGGGCTACTGCTTTGAGGGGCTGGGCTGGAGCAATTCCCCAGCAGACAGAAGGGTCACTGTGAGGGAAATCACTCCTATTAAAGCAATCCTTTCCAGTGTGATCAAACATGCAACTTTGCAACTGGACACAAGAACAACTATGTCAGTGTCAACTTACACCTGAATTGATGGCTACTTTTCCTTCGCAGTAAAGATTGAACATGGATGTATAGAAAGCTGGACTGGTGCTTTGTAAACTAACAGAGAGCTGTTTTCCTCTTATCTCACCTAATGTGTTCTCACAAGTATTGTAGTGCTGTTGAAAAAGTCAGATCTTTTTCTGAAGGATGGCTTGTAAGATGAATGCTAAAGGCAGGCAAAATGAGATGAATGCCTTAAACCAGAGGTCCCCAACCCCTGGTCCACGGCCCAGTGCCGGTCCATGGCCTGAGCCAGACCGGGCCACAGAGACAGACCTCCCACCCCGGCCCCTGCACGCACTCACCCCACACAGCTGATTTGCACATGAGCGTGTGCTCCAGCGTGCCCGTGTGAGTGCCGTGTCGCCATTTGTGCAAGCGCATGAGTGCACTCTCATTTGTGTGAGAGAGCACATGCACTTTTTCGTGCATGCACATGAGCGCGGGAGTGCCCCGCCTTCCCCAGCCAGTCCGCAGGGTGAAAAAGGTTGGGGACCCCTGGCTTAAACTGCAGATACAGGGCGGGGGGGGGAGTACTCTCAGACTGACTGTCTTCCTGCCCCTACCTCCATTCCGTTGATAGCTGTGCATGCCACACAGCCTGTCATGAACCCCTTAGACTTGCCAGCTCTTCAGATGCAGTAGTGGATGCTGTACCATCACTAGTATCAGTATAGTTGGAATCTGACAGTACCATGATGTTCTTCTCTCTTGGCCCAGCTCTGTTTCAGTATTTCTAGGAATGGTACACCTTCCCCTTTGGGGAAAATATTTTTATTATATATTGTGGCTTTGTACTGGATGGTTTGTAATTCTGGCTTTATGGGTTGTGAACCACCCCGAGAGTGTTTCCACTAATGGGGCAGTATAGAAATTGAAATCATACATACATACATACATACATACATACATACATACATGCATGCATGCATGCATGCATGCATGCATCCATGCTCAATATGCTGTTCTTCCTGCACCCTCTGCATCCTGTCCAAGGAAAGAAGAATGTTGTGAGAAATTCAGTGAAAATATGGCCGAATGAAGTCGTTTGTAGCACATTTGCCTTTTAATAAGGATACTCTCATCTGGAGACATGAGCCAGGAGTCCTCTTTTTATAGAAGGATTACTATATTGTTAATCACATCTAACTAATGGTACCCTTTCCAATTTCTTTTTTCAGGAGGTGTTGCACTTTGGTTAGGACATAATGACAGCTGAAGATTCCACTGCTAGGATGAGTAACGATTCCTCCAGTATGCAGGCAAATAAAGTCCCTGAGGGTGTGGCTGGTGCCCCAAATGAAGCTGCACTTCTGCAACTGTTAGAGCGCACTGGATATACGATGGTTCAAGAGAATGGGCAGCGCAAGTATGGTGGTCCCCCACCAGGCTGGGAAGGGCTTCCTCCGCCTCGTGGATGTGAAGTCTTTGTGGGCAAAATCCCTCGTGACGTCTATGAAGATGAACTTGTCCCTGTGTTTGAGTCAGTGGGGCGGATCTATGAAATGCGCCTGATGATGGACTTTGATGGAAAAAACCGTGGCTATGCCTTTGTAATGTATACTCAAAAATATGAAGCCAAACGTGCTGTCAAGGAACTGAACAACTATGAAATCCGTCCCGGCAGGCTGTTGGGTGTGTGTTGCAGTGTGGATAATTGCAGGCTGTTCATTGGAGGAATCCCCAAAATGAAAAAAAGAGAAGAAATTTTGGAAGAGATCTCTAAGGTGACGGAAGGCGTGCTAGATGTCATCGTATATGCCAGTGCAGCAGATAAAATGAAAAACAGAGGGTTTGCCTTTGTTGAGTACGAAAGCCACCGAGCAGCTGCTATGGCAAGGAGGAAATTGATGCCTGGGAGAATCCAACTTTGGGGGCATCAGATTGCTGTCGATTGGGCAGAGCCAGAAATCGATGTTGATGAGGATGTCATGGAGACTGTTAAAATCCTGTATGTCCGTAATCTAATGATTGAAACCACAGAAGATACCATTAAAAAAGTATTTGGACAATTTAATCCTGGCTGTGTAGAACGTGTTAAAAAAATACGAGATTATGCCTTTGTACATTTCACAAGCCGGGAAGATGCTGTTAGTGCCATGAATAATCTCAACGGCACTGAGCTGGAAGGATCCTGTCTGGAAGTGACCTTAGCCAAGCCAGTAGACAAAGAGCAGTATACCCGTTACCAGAAAGCAGCTAAAGGAGGAGGAACGGACGTTACTCAGCAACCTAACTATGTTTACTCTTGTGATCCATATACCCTGGCATATTATGGATATCCATATAATGCTCTGATTGGTCCAAATCGAGAATATTTTGTGAAAGGTTAGTACACAATTTTGAATACATTGTAGCTATGAATATTATTAGAGCTTTACTTATTTTACAGTGATGGGGAGCTATTTGCTTTAAGTAAGTGATAGGTGATACTGCTTGCTTTCTGCTCTTTGTTGCCAGAAAACCCTGGTCCTAAATTGTATAACCTGAAGCTGTTTGTAACAGGAATTAACACATGACAAATCACAGCACTCTCTATCTGTATCCACACCGTCTTGCTTGTTCCTCAATTTTAAAGCAAAAGAGGGCTGTTCAGCAGTAAAGTGGGGATGATGTGTGCTCAGGGTATTTCCCAGGGGTGTAAAGGTATATTTGTTTCTAAGTCAAAAAGAGTGAAGGAGAAGGAAGGCAAACCAGCCTGATCAGAGGCCTCCAGAAGCATCAGTACATTACACTTGGAAATATGCACTGCAGAATTTTGTTTTTGGTTCCCACTATTACCGGTTTTCTGAATCCTGTCACACTCTAACACGTGGGGAGCCTGCAAACATTGGCAAGGATCTAGCTGGATGCTGTTAGAACCTAAAACCCTGTCAATACGGTAACACACATTATCTTGCTTGTGCAGGCATTGCCCTTACAGAAGGAGAGATCCCTGTTCCAAATAATCAGCTTGGACAAGGAGGTCTCAGATACCTCCTAGCATAAGTAACATGAAAGTCAAACCATGGTTGCATGAGTGAATACAGTAGATTCTAAGAGGATCCCAGCCCAAAATGCTGCATGAGAGAATAGATGAGGATGTAGGGAATCTCTGGCCCCCCAGATGTTTTGGTCTCCTAATCCCATGACCCTTTACCATTGGCTGCTCTGGCTGGGGCTTCTGGGAGTTCAGGTCCAACAACATTTGGACTCCAATTTCTTCCTCTTTGTAGTACATAAAGTTTATTGCTGGACTGCAGCCCTGCAGGAATTTTCACATTATAGCCTTCTTCCACAGTGATCCCATCTGAGGTAGAAGAATCAAATTAGGTGAGGCAGCAGCTTTGTGTTTAAATTTTAAATTTTAGAAGCTGATAGTACACTATTCAAGAGGGTTCATTAGAGCAGTGGTCCCCAACCTTGGGCCTCCAGATGTTCTTGGACTTCAACTCCCAGAAATCCTGGCCAGCAGAGGTGGTGGTGAAGGCTTCTGGGAGTTGTAGTCCACAAACATCTGGAGGCCAAGGTTGGGGACCACTGCATTAGAGTATGCACAGTCAGACTTGACAATGAAGCCCGTGTTTGTCTCCTGGCAACTAATCAAAAACAGAGCATGCTAATTTGCAAGATGGAGAGGTGAGAAAAGTTGTGCCTGTACAGCAGAAGTCTTTGAACAGTTAAAGGAGCTCTGCTTCTAAAAGCAAAGCTACTCATACTTTTTAAGCTTGATTTAAAATCTTGCTAGGCTTTGATATAGGCAAAAGCTGTTTTTCCCTGTGGAATAGTACCAGAAGGTGCTAAAGTCACTTAACCCATTTTTGTTTCCACCAAAGTTATACCCATGGCAACAAGTGAAGATAAACTTTGGTTAATTATATTTTTTAAAAAAGTTACTCTTCCTTTCAATTCTTGCATAGATGTCATTTTTACAGTGGCAGAGGTCATAACTGTATGAAAAGCAAACATTCATTAAAAAATTAGATATAAATGATCATCCCTTTACATTTCTAAATGAACATGCATTGCACAATCAAAGAGTTGCTTGTATGGTATGGAAACTGGTGTATTTATTGAAAGCCATGATCTCATTAAAATAGTGGTTTAGAATCTTATTTAGTTCTTATAATTGTTATAGTAATCTGTTCAGTAGTAACAGGTTAGGCCTGAAACAGTGTGTTGCAACGTGGAGTGTTTTTGTCCAGTGTTCCGGCCAGCTAGCCATGCCTTCTTCCGGTACACGTCATACTGCCACACACCAGATGGACAGTATGCAGAATGCTTTGGCATACTCAAAGCTTTCTGATAATAAACAGGTAGCATTCTGTGACTGATCATGCTTATTGGCATATTTAGGAGGCATACATACAGTTCATCATTGTTGGTGTTGCTGTCTGAGTAGAGCTTGGCAGAGGGGATTTGCATCTGCCAAGGGGAGCACCTGCTTCACACCTTCTTCCTTTCCAAGTAGGGGTATGTATGTATGTGTGCCACCACACACAATGTGCTGCTGGTGACACTTCACTTTCCACTCTAGGCAACAGGAGAGTTTTGGCCAGTCTGGTAAAAATTGGTAGGATTCCAATGTAGTAGAATTACACTCAGATTTCTTTCAGTGGAACTGGTTTAGCAACTCAGAGGAAGAAAGTTTTATAATAGGCACTCTCGGGTGTCAGCTAGAAGTAAAGGTGAATTCTGCCCTTCTGCAACTATGCTTGGTATTATTATTCTTTTTTTTTTTTTTAAGACATCAGTTTAGCAAATCAGGCTTATATGGCACGTCATGAAGAAGGAAAAAAACTTCAGTCCCATCCTTCATGTCCATCCTTCCAGCCAGCATGCCTTGCTGGCAGCCACGCAAGTCGGAGGAGCAGGAAGTAAAGGATGAGGAACCTAAATGTGGGGAACTAGAAAGAGCTGGTAGGCCATGCTGGAAGGAGGACATCAGGGGAACTTCAGAGAAAAGAGGAGTATGGGTTTCTGTTGGTGCCAAGAATGACATGAACCACCAAGAAAATGTAGCAGTGGTTGGAACAGATATGCCAACACCCATCATTAGCCACCATTAAGCACCATTGAATAGCTGACAAAATGAGAAAGCATCACAAGGCCCTGTGACTAAAAAGATTGTAGTGTATACTACTCCCACTCAGTGAACATGCCCTTCACCATATTCTGTCTCCCTATCATAGTTTTCCGTTTCCCCATAACAGTCAAGTCACTATGCTGTTATCAGTGAGAAGCTAAGCCTTCTCTGGCTGTTTTGAGTTACAATATTTTCCTGATTTTATATTTCTCTTGTGTCACCTTCCTCTTATGTCTGCATGTTGCTGTTTTGGCAACATATGATTCCATACTTACCCCTACATTTTGGAAACAGACAGAATGGTGCATTCAGCTGCAGGAATAAAACTGTCTTTAGGTAGACAAATTGTAAACATCAGTGTTTGACAAAACAAAAAATTAAATAATTCCTGTTTCCTGCAGAACATGCAGTAATCCTAGCTGAGCTGTTTATGTGACCAATAAAATAAAATGGGTTTTACATAATTCATTTACTGCGGCACCACATTTGTCAATTCTTGAAAGTTTGTGAATATTAAAGCACACTGTTCTCTTTTTATTCGCACAATATAATTAATTATTTTTTTATTTTAAACACTGTACGTATCACACTCTGGCACACCCATGTTTTTCTTGATAGGTAGGTAGGTAGTATTTCAATACTATAGAGCTGCTAGTGCCTTTTTGCCATTGCTTATGATTTATCATAGCAGGAAGACTGTAAGTTTTCCTTACAATGTACGGAATTTTTCTTTCTCTGTTTCTGGGCTGTGCGTGTGTGTGTTTGTGTGTGAGTCAGTGAGAGAGAGAGAGAGAGATATATATTTTCTTAACTCTTACACCAGATGTGGAAACCCTTTGGCTTTCCAGATGTTACTAGACAAATAATAGTTCTGTGCCATCAAGTCAATTCCAACTTATGGCAACCCTTTCCAGTCTTTTCTAGGTATAGAATACTCAGAAGTGATTTACCATTCCCTTCTTCTCAGCATGTCCTGGGACTATGTGGCTTGCCCATGCCTGTATAAGCTGGTTCTTCTCTCAGGAGGTACAGTGGGGAATTGAACTTCTAACCTCTGGCTCTGCAACCAAATATCTAAACCACTGAGCTATCCAGCCAGCTGTTGGTAGACTAAATTGCCCATAATTACTTGCCACTGGCCATCCTGGTTGATGTTTCTAGGTCTTGAAGACCCAACCATTTGGAAGGCCATTGGGTCTCTCTAAGATTCTCTTCCCTGCTCCTGATCTATACCTTGACCTCTATTGACGCAGAGCTTCTCTGTGTTATTAGATGTGATAATCTCCCAACAGGCAAAAGAATAAAAAGGCTTTGAACAAAATGTCTTGTATTCTTATATGCAAATAATTGAGAATTCAGTGCATCATCAACTCAGATAAACACAGAAACATTCCTACACCTGTCTTGTTGTAAGCAAGATTCACATATGAGAACATGCAGGATAGCTCAAGGAAAAGCATTGGATTCAAACACATGCATAACATCAGTGGGAAACCCACTTTGGAAATGCTCTTGCTGTATTTTGATTTTACTTGTATACTTGAAACCCCTCTGTCCTGCCTCACAGAATGATAATGCATGTGATTACATGGTGATTTAGCATATATTTTGGACTGCTCGTGGCACAGCCCTGTTTGAGTCCACCACCTACACAATATACAGGAAATCCAGAGCCAGTCCAACATTGCCCAGTTTTTGGTCCAGCAACAAGGCAGTGCTTTCGTCTCTCTTTTTGAGTTGAGCTGGAGCAGTTAGGACTAGAGTTGCATGTGGGAGGAAGGATCATTTTCAAATGGTTGCTTTAAAGATCACATCCAACAAAGTGACCCTTTCTGGTATGATTCAACACAAATTTTTGTTGCCATCTGATTGTATCCTATGTCATGGACCAACCTCTCTCCAAATGCAATGTTAGTTGCATTTATATCCCATCTTTGTTTGGCCATCATAACCAGCTTTGAACTGAGCCAGTTTTACTGTTGTAACTTAGGAATCACACATGCTACATGTACTGTATCTGAGTCAGTCAGTAGCCTGGTTACAGCATTTTTGAATGCATTGAAGTTACAGAGCTGTCTTCAAAAGTGACCTTGTATAGAGTATACTGTATTGTGATTATCCATAAGAGATATACCTATGCATGAATATCCTAGAGGCCATGCTTATAGGAGTACACTCATCTGCCTTCAGAATTTGACATCCATACTACTATTCATGGGCTTTTTTTTCTCACACAGCTGTTAAGCTTCCTTTCCCTAAAGCTGTTCTGCTCCCTAATCTGTGCCTACTACAGTGCCTTTACGTTTACTGTATATAACTGATATTTAGGGTGGTTCTTTAGTGGTTCTTGGAGCTGTCATCTAGAAAAGTAACTTTTTTCAAGCTATACTCAGTGCAACAAATAAAGTAAACAGTACTACAAATAATCTTGGCAATATTTTCTTTGTTTCAAGTATTATTTTTACAGAGTTTCAGTAAATGCTGTTCGTGCTGCTTTGTCTAGTTTGTGTTTTTAGTTTTGTACTTTTATTTATAAGCAGGCAGCGTTAGAGGCAGAGGACGAGGCGCAGCGGGCAACAGGGCCCCCGGTCCAAGAGGTTCATACCTGGGGGGATACTCTGCAGGCCGTGGCATATATAGCAGATACCATGAAGGGAAAGGAAAACAGCAAGAAAAAGGATACGAGCTTGTACCCAATTTGGAACTTTCTGCTGTCAGCCCAGTTGCTATTAAACCTGGCACAGGTTGGTATAATTATTGAGATGGTAAAAATATTGTTTGGGGGTTTAAATAAATCCTCAATATTTTAAGGGAGCTGCCAGACATCAGTTTCTTCAGCAAGTGGAACAACAAACTTAGGAAGTAGCTTATGTTTCACTTTTGAAACCGATGCATATTTTGCTGAGGTTAGAGCTTCCATCTCTTTTTCCCCCACGGTGCAGCAAGGTCAGAATGATGGCACTCATGTGTTGGTTTCCTTCAGAAACCTACACACTTTTAAATGACACATCATTTCTACTCATATGGGAACATACATGCAGTGGGGGTACGGGCATCGATGTTTGTTGGATCCAAGGGAAGCGGAACTTTGACAAGATAGCAGAAATTTGCCAGAAGTTTGGAAATTAAAACATAGGTATAATTCATGGATATGTACCTTGGTCTTAAAATATAACATGATAAATACACATAAGAAGCCAAAATTTGTAAAATAGCTTCTCAGATTTTGACTTTGGGTAGGCTTAACATAGGCATAGCCATTTCTGGAAACATTTCACTGTGTTTCTCTCTGTCTTCTGCATCTAGTCAAATGAGTATCTGTCCTTGGAACTAATCAAGATTTCGCGGAAATTCTTTGAATTCTAGAATAGGCAAGATATTATAGAACAAAGTAGTAAAACATTGCAGCATCTGATTTTGAGTTTATTTGGTGTTGTTTCATTTTTCAATGTCAGGAATGAAGTAGTCTTAAGCTACTTCATTCTCAAGGTGGGGTCCCAGGGCAGAACTTATATTGACTTCACAACGGGCTGCCTCATGAATTCCCCGATACTTAAAGAAAAATTTGCAGGAGTCAGTGGTTGGGCCATGTTCGTGGTGGCTTTTGGATGTTCTTGGATGGTTTTAAGACATCCAGCTTCTAACCCTCACTGAACCACAAATTACATTTAGCAACCTTGAACCGTGCCTCCCTCTCAGCCTGAGCTACCTAACAGGGCTCTCAGGAAGATAAAATGGGGAAGAGAGCTGTGTGTCGTCTTACTGAAGGGAAGATGGAATATAAATGTTGCAAATAAATACTTATTAACATGATGCTGGCATATAGCTTCATCAGTACAGTATAACTATACAAAATGACTGGATACGAGTCATTTTGGCTTTTTGGCAATAGTGTACAGATACCAAACAAAAAAGGGATGACAATAAACTGTGGTGTAATATTTTTTTCTCCTTATCAGTATATATAGGGGCAGGGATCTGAAGAAAAAAGGTGTGGACCACAGCCAAACTTTAGGCTGTAATTCTGCATCCCTTTTCTATGCAGTATTGATCCAGTCACATTCTCCTACAAGCTCCTCTCTGAATTCTGTGCAAAGCCTTGAAATTTCTTTTTAGCACTGCTGCTAGCTTCCAGATTTGTCTATATTCAAAGGCCTTCTGAATTTGGCCAGAACTCTTATGATAGGAAATGTATAAATTCTTACTATTCCTGATGTTAAATGTAGTCATTTGTGGATGGTTCCTGTTTTTCTGAAGTTTTAAAAGCTGAAGCATTTTTCCTGATGGTATCTTCTCCATCTTGCTACCCATGATGGAACAATGGAGATACTTGTATTTGGCAGAAATACATAGGAAGAACACCTGACTGGTGATGTATCATGTCCTTCTACCAAGCAAGCCAATGCCTTTCTTTCTCCATGGGCATACAGTATGTAATTAAATCAGCCTTATCTAGCTGCCCTATAGATATGTTGGATTGCTCTTTACAAATATCTAGCCAGCATGGCCAAGATTAATGAATAGTGCAGACACTGCAACATCTGTAGAGCACCAACTTGGGAAAGTCCAACACAAGCACATGTTTTATATTGCACCAAAACAGATTTTATGTCTGGAATAAGAAGTGCAACCCAACATGAACACCGTGCACTAGTGAGCTTAAGCTAAAATGAATATCTTTTTATGCTAGGTTATGGGCTGCAAGAGCTGTAGATACAAGCTAATTTATGTCATTGTTGATGTTACAGCAATAGCCTGATAACATCTCATTCTGGTCTCTTCTAGTGGCAATTCCAACTATTGGTACCCAGTATTCTATGTTCCAAGCAGCACCAGCAGCAAAGATGATAGAAGATGGGAAACTCCATGCAGTTGAGCATATCATCAGCCCCATCGCTGTCCAGCAGGATCCAGCCAGTGCAGCAGCTGCAGCTGCAGCAGCAGCTGTAATACCAGCAGTTTCAACCCCTCCACCTTTTCAAGTAAGTTTTAACAAGAGTTTCTCACTGTGTTTTTCCAGCATACAGAAAGCCATCTGAGACTGTACACAGTGAGCTAAACATACCGTGAAGCCAGAAGCTGATATCAGAATCTCAAGCTGTGTGCCTAGGGTCAGCTCTACTTCTAATGTCATTTTAGCAACATTTTGTCATGATGCCATGCACAGTAAATCCAAAGAGAGTATAAATGCACATTTGTACTCGAACTGTATGCAGATTAAGCAGCACATAGCAGGATTTAGCCGTGGTGGGATAAATGCAAAGCCCCACTGGAGGAAACAAGCAGGCAGACTGGAAGTATGAGGAACCTATTGAGAAGAAAAATAAATGCAGGAACCGATGATACTTTTATTGGACCATTAAGGAAATAAAACAAAAAAACCTAACGAATAAAGCAGGCTTTCAATGATAATTCATCTTCCTCAGGTTGTACACCAAGTTTTTGTGGGTAGCTTCAAAATTATATGATTGTATCAAAGTCACAAAAGTTTCATGTTGGGGGGGGATCAGGTATAGCTTCTTAGATATTGAGAAGAAAGTACACCCTTGCAGTCAGTGACATCCACTAGGGACATACGTAAACCATGTTATGATAGTGCAAAACAGAACACACCTACTAGAACTTTGAGACAGTGCTCAGCAAGACACCAAATGCTAAAAATGCCTTATGTACCCCTTTCCAAATCTTTGCACTAAACTTGAAGCACATGGGAATGTTGAGTTACAGCCTGTTCTTATTGAGGTTGAACATATACGTACATAATACTGCAGATGACATGATAAAGTTGCTGGTGTATCAGTGAAAAATATAACATTGTTCTTCTGCTTGGTTTCTTCGAGAACTAGTACCTTATTCGTATATTGTCCCTTTATGTATTTGTCAGTGCCACTGTGCAGATTTGCCAGTGTCATATTATTAGCAATGCTTGATCTGAATTATAAATATGTTTTTGCAACTTCTTTTTGCTATAGAGAAGAGAATTTTCTTGTAACTTGCAGAGCTGACGGAGTAAATAGGTGGAGCTTTGTCATAATGGCTTGGTGTCATACTGATGCATTTTTGTAGAGTCAGGTCTCTTCAGACCATTTTTAGTGCTTCCTGAATGCCTCTCCTCAGCTACTGGAAGGACCAGGATGCTAGACTGGAAGGACCCCTGATCTGCTCTACCAGAATTTTCTTATGATTGTAAATGCCAAGGATTTGAGCCGGGCCCTGCGAATACAATGTCAGTGATCCACATTTGAGCTACTGTGTACTTCTTCCCATTTTGAAAGTTTTAGATTTGTATGTTGAAGAAATCTTTACAGAATATTTAAGAAATTGATTTTTTCTGCCAGAGTTTTTCTGCTGAAGTCTGTTCATTTGTCTGTGTGCTAACTGAAAGCCTCTGATCAGGAAGCTCTCACCGGCTTCAAATGTGAACTGCTCGTATAGCGCTAAACTCCATCTCACTGATACAGTGCAGTCCTAAAATGTAACCATGCTTTCAGGAGTGAAAGAAGGCTGGTAAATTATATAAAAAAAATGTTAGTGTATAGAGACAAGAAAAATGTTGACAGATAGCAAGATGTTACTGATAATATCAGAACAGGAGCTGGTCCATTCAGGAGAATAAAATGCTGGAAGAGTCCTCAGATGGGTTTTTTTAACATCCATTTTGGGTTTTAAACTTTCTAAAAATTGTTTATTTTTTTATTGTTGATTCCAGGGCCGCCCTATAACTCCTGTGTATACCATGGCTCCAAATGTGCCAAGAATTCCGGCTGCAGGAATCTATGGTGCCAGTTATGTCCCATTTGCTGCCCCAGCTACAGCAACAGCAACAATAGCCACACTACAGAAGAACGCAGCTGCTGCCGCTGCGGCCGCCGCCGCCTACGGAGGATACGCTGGGTATATCCCTCAGGCATTTCCAGCTGCAGCAATCCAGGTTCCAATCCATGACATCTATCAAACTTACTGAGACTGCCAGCTGTGGTTGGTAGAAGGGTTTGGGAACATTGAAGGAACATTTTACTATTTATGAAGAAAGAACCTGCTGCAGAAGAATGTGTTTGGATGTCAATGAACTGATGACAAAAGCTGGAAGTGAAATTTATATCCAATTTAGCATCATGTTTGAAATCTTCCGTACACATGAAGTTTCTACTAACTTTTTAGGCTTTTTAAAAAGAAAATTAATGTGCCTGAATTCTACGTTTCCAAAAAGGCTTGTTTTTTCAAGGCCCGTTCTTCTATACAGGTTTATATAAAGTAGTAGGTTTTTATCAATTTTATTTTCGCTATATTTGTGGTATGAAGGTTATTTTTTAGCAAGTTCTGCACTCCAGAGATTTCTATTTTGTAGTGCCTTTAATAATATATCAGCTAAATATGAAAAAGTGCACCTGAGCAGGTAGGGAAAAGTTTTTAAACAATCTATTTTGAAGAATATATTCAATATTTAAAGAATTCATGCAATAGATTTTTTTAAAATATATATATACAAATGTATCTTATTTAAGACATTAAACTGGAAAGTGCAATTTGAAAGTGACTGAGACCTCTGCATTATGTCCTAGCATTTATATGGTTTCTTTGTTACCTGGAGCCACACTAAACATCTATAGTTATAAAGAAACTCCCATAAATATGGTTATGTTAAACTATGCTTAATGTTAGGAGACCTTTTTTGCATTTTCTGTAGAGCTATCATTTGTATTTATCAGCATTCTTTAATTTTCAAACTCAGAGCCAGAAGCAAAGTCATTTATATTTTATAAAAATGTGATGTTCATTTGTCACAGATGAGTTTAACCTAAAACAAAAACAAAAAACATGGGTTTTGGTATCACTGCACATGTGAATGCTGAGAGCGTCCATATGGCTCCAGACCTTATCTGCAGTCAGCTAGTTTTATTGTTGGTTAGGAAGTAGACTTTCCTTATAGTGCTAAATCAAGATTGCTACCTTACCCCAGTAGGAAGGATCTGTTGCTCAGTGGTGGAGTGTATCTCAAGTCCATGGCATCTCCAGCTAAAAATATCAGGTTCTGGGTAACACCTGAGATCCTGGAGACATACTGCCTGCCAAAATAATCAATACTGAATAGATGAACAGATGATTTCTGCTGGTGTAAGAAGAAACCATACTGTAGGTTTATTGATGCAAGCACAAAAATTTGGGTTTTCTGTATTTTTCAGAAGTGTGGCATATGTACACACAGCTCTGATTGTACACTTTTCTAATATAAGTGGTGTTCAAGAGATACATCTGCAGATAAAGACACGTGTGGTAAATCTACTTGAAGCCCCTACAATACATGTGCAGAGATACAATAACTGATACGAAGTTGTGATTTCGTACAGCTCATTATATCTAGGTTTTCTCATCTCCTCTTATATGCTTGCAAACAAAATAGCTCCTCTGAATTTCAACAAGCTCTTGTGTTCTTATATAAAAGGTAGTTCATTTGTATTCTTTTAAAGTATATGTTATAGTGTCAGAGAATGTTTGCTAGTGTAGTCAAGGACCAAATATGTTCTTGACAGAAAATACTGCTTTTTAAAATAGCTTTACCATTTTTCATGCTGAGGTAAGGGGGTTAGTATAGTGATACTAGGTGGATTTTAAGCTCTTGCCTTATTGTCCTTTCCATTTACAGATCCCAATAATGGGAGTTGCACATGCACACTGGTGAAGGAAGGACTCTGAATTTTTTTTAAAAAAAACATGTAAATATATTCACATTATAAAAGTTGTTTTATTTTGCTGTTCTTTGTGGCTGTGTGGCATACCACAGAGTCCATGTTTAATTTCAACGTTATGAAAATGTGTTTAGTTAAGTCATTTTATTGGAGTGTTTTGTGGCCTGTTTAAAGGCTTTTGTTGGTAGTAATGCGATGAATGTAAAATACAGTAAACTGTGGTTAATTTCCTTTATGTAACATGCCCTGGTACCACCTGAAAGCTTTACTATAGTGAAGTGTGCAATACATATTACACATGGAAGGGTGGGATCCAAAGATCTCTGAAGGCACCTTCCTTGCACACTTGGGAGCTTGGACAGCGCTTTTCAATCACTCTAAAAGAGATAGTGCCACCAGTCTGGGAATCTCTGGTTGCTACCTGAGAACCTGGAAGGAACAGTGAAAACATGCTAATTGTTTGAATATAAATGTTTGAGCATGTGCCCAGCCTCTTGGGATCCTTTCATATGGAGTCTGTGTTTCTGCATAACGGCAAACCAGGACATGGTTTGATGAATTCTAGCTACAAGTTATCCATGGTTTGTTAGCCAGCCTCAAGAAACCACTGTTTGTAATTGGGTTCCTTTGGCTTGTTTAAAACCATGGCTTTGAAAAAGAAACTGGCAAAAGGGCCAGAGANNNTGGGGGGGGGGGGGTTGTTTGCAGTACAGTTCACAGGTAAAGCAACCAACTAACGGCTAACAAAAACCATAGCTTACTGTGACATGCATACACAGCCGGTGTGGATCACTAAGACAAAGGCTGAGTATACAAATTTAGAATGTTTATCTAAACGGCTTTATACACAGTCAGGTTTTTTAATATTCCAGACAATACTTCCATTCAGCAAATCTATTCTGAATTTAAATTGTAATATAAAATATAAATATTTTCAAGAATATGTTTTGTCAAGAGAAGTGGAAACTGTTAAGTATTTTGCTATAGAAGTGAATGGCAGTAATTCTCCTCCTCTCCCCTAAAGAGTGGTCCTTTAAAAACACACCCACAAATCCACTGTTGCCCGAATTACTGCTGCACCCTACCTCACAGGGCCACGTTAACTACTGCAATGTTTGTAGGGGGCTAGTTTGCTTTAAGCTGGCAGTCCAAAATGCCCTGCCGTTCTTTGACTATGGGGGCCTGAATCCTTAACCAAGGCCTAAATGCTAACTATAGTTCTCCCTCAGATGATAAGTGTGGATATGAACCTTGCTGCTGTATTATAGGGCACAATACAAAATACAAAAGTGAGACTCTAGTCTTCTCAGTGTAAACCTGTCAAGGGGAAAGGGAGGTCAGAACTGTTCTCTTTGATATTTGGCATTCTGCAAGGATTTGTTTGTTTTAATATGTGAAAGAACACAGAGAGAGGCATAAGGGCATTTGCGATGCAGTACAAAGGAACAGATCTCAGACACAGGTTAACCTGAAAACTACGTTACTCCCAGCAGCTGCATCTTGGGTGAGAACTCAGCATAAATTCTGTTGCTTCTACAGGGCCACCTCATGAATCAGTTTTTCTGAGTGGTCAAGCATATATATTTTAGTGTTTTCTCACCTCTTACAGTACTGCACTACACAAGTTTTTGTAAAATGACTGCCAGCAGCAAAAGGCATAATTAACACACTGAAGCAAAGCACCACTGTTCTACTAATACTCTGATTTTATTTTTAATCTCCCATTGTGCAGAAATAATGAGACCTGAGCCTTCTTTTAAAACCTTAGTCAAACAAGAGGGCTTGGACCAATATGGTACTATGACTACTTTTTATCAGAAGTGGATCTCTGACTGTATTTTACATTTTACCATATATATGTATAGTATCAAATAAAGTGGGTCCCAAACTTATACTAGGCAATGTTCTTAAAATGCACTTGTTCATAGGAACTCTGGGCAGGTGCAAACATACTAGCTGAAATGCCTAGCAGCAGGATCAGGAAGGTTGTGTAGGCCTCAATGAGCCAGCAGTCTGTGGTGTGACTCTTATTACTATTTCTGAACCATTTCATGTATACACTACTGAGGCAAGTTATGACTTGAATGTGAACTTTTCGTAGGTTAAGAACAAAACTATAAAAAAGATATGTATGTTTGCCTTATTTTCAAACGTGCTACTAGTATAGATATTTTGCTGTATTTCTATTATTTTGTGTGTTGTTTTTGTTCCATTTAAAAGTACTTTCTTAGGAGGTAGTAAATAAAAACATTCCTGTATAAATGGGTCCTTGTCGTTCATTCTCTAATTCATTTTTACAGCTTCAGAGTTAATGAAACACTGGCCTATTTTCAGTCATTTTATTGCATTTTCATATGATCTTTTAGACCAGAACTGATAGTCTACTTGCCTCCTTACCCATTGTAACATCAACTTTTCTGGCATCATTTCTTTGTTCGTCATTGACTGCTTTTGGCAAGATGTAGGGAAATGCCCAAGTTTAGATGCTTATTTTGCTATATTATTGCAGCTGAATTCTATTAAACGCTATAGCAATGAACAGGGGAGTCATAGTTGCTGTTTTTTATACAAGCTGTGCACTTAATTAATTATAATAATTACATGCTGCCAAATCAGTTCCAATAGACAGCAAACATTTTCCAGGATTTTTCTACGTCTCGAGTGCTCAGAAGTGGTTTTACCGTTCCTTTCTTCTAGGAATGCTCTGGGACCATGCAGCTTGCCCAAGACTACACAGGCTGACTCTTGTCCTTGGAGGCACAGCAGAGATGGTGTAGTCTAAAACAGCCGTCCCCAACCTTTTTAGCCCCACGGACTGGCTGGGGAAGGCGGGCACATGTGCAAAGGGTGGCACAGCACTCGGGGGGCACTTGTGCACATGCGTGAAGGGGTGGGGGAGTGCTCATGTACATGCAGGTGCATGCGCGCAGGTGCAAATGGGTTGTGGGGGGGGAGTCTGTCTCTGCGGCCCGGTCCGGCTCAAGCCACAGACCAGCACTGGGCTGTGTACCGGGGATTGGGGACCTCTGGTCTAAAATAATAACTTGTACATCTTCTTTGAACAGGTTTACTCAAGGTTACAAGATGGTTATAAAATGTCTAATAAATACAGCGTAGCATACTGTTTCATGTAAGGTAAATAGTCTTGGATTACTCAGTCAAACCAGATATAATTAAGTATACTTAATAATTTGTATGTGGAATTAATTAATGCAATGAGCAGACCAGACCAAGAAGGTAATCTGAATTTCACTCTTGATGCAATTTTTTGTAAAGAATACTTCCAGGTAAATCTAGGTCTACTATAACATTTCTCCAGATAAAAAGTGAGATAAACTCGATGTTGTTCCCACAGTGCCATAAATTGCAACCTTAGTGCTCCAACAAGCTCCTGGAAAATTTGAGACTAGTTTTGAAAAAGGGAAAAAGCAAATGTCTCTCGGTATTAAGTAAAAAGCTATCATTTCCTTCCTGGTTCTATAAAAGGAAATTCAAGGTTGCCTTTAGCTGGTTCTATGCATAAATCCTTTCTGATCAGATTGTTGTATCATCCCCCATTTTCTTCTCCAGGTCATTTACAGCACTGGGTGTTTTTATTAGAGTACATTAATTAGAGATCGGTAAATTTACTTTTTTAGACTTTTTAGTTTCAAAACTCCCCAGCCATCTGGGCATTGGCCATGCTGGCTAATATATTCCGAGAGTTGTAGAATATCAATATTTGAGGGAAAAAAGCAATTATAATGCTTTTGATCTTTCAGAACTAGTTTTGCATGTGGGCTATGGCTTGCATTTGTTGCCTTACAGTGTAATATTCCCACTTACTTATTTGAAAATATTATCAAATATATATTGTATAATGTATGATATATTTAGTTTTTAATAGTTTAACAGTTTTAGCTTGGTGGATAAAATATGTTCTTTATATAGCT